CTTGCTTAATTTGTAAAATAATTTTGTTATATCGTTGTAATGATATTACTCGTTAAAATGGACACTACAACTTTTATTATATCGAAATATTTATCGTACAAAAGTTATACATGCCTCAGTTCTCCAACATAAATAATTTTTTTCAGTACTGCGCTTACATTAAAGTTTAGTTAGAGCCATTTAATTTGATATTATATTTTTTAGATCTATCTTTGTTAATTTATGAGATAAGAGATAAAAAGGGATAGTTATTTATATGCTAACATCTTGTACAGGTTATATACAACGTATCGTGATATCATGGATCAATTGATAAAGCCCATAATTTTCTCCAATAGCACCGATTTTTAAACAACACAAATAATTCACTACATTTTTTCGAACGTATAGAATACATAGCAAAGATGTGAAGTGATTTGAGGCGATTAACACTCGAGTCGCTATGTAAACTGTAAGCTTGTAGTAGAGGTAACCTTCACGAGCGAAATTATCGAAAGAGTAAATGCGTGCTGTCGAGTCAAATAAGAATGAATTGTTATTTGGAAATTTGGTAGATGCAACCTATATAATATATATATTGGTTAACAGAAACCTTGACAACGAACATAAAAGATTATTAAACACATTCTAGAACAAATTAAAGACGTGACAATTGTAATAAAATTCGTCATCATTTTCGAGAAAGAATTATCTCATACTATGCGCGGAAAAATTTCTCACAATATGTATATTCACCACATCTCCTCATAAAGCCTCGATTATTTATAGAAGAGGCTTGAATTTTTTACATTTCTTACGCAAAATAGCGACGAAACGTCGCCGATGATATATAATAATAGCCGTGCAATGCAGATATCAATTTTTTGCATTAAAATGCAATTCGTATTTTACGTTGAAATATTATTCGGAGATTATTTATAATTACTAAAAAATGAGAAAAAGATAAATACAACACTGAGAGAAAAAAATAGTTGCAAGTACCACAATTTAATTATATTTTATGGTCATTTTTAGAAGCAACTATAAATTTATAATTGTTTTAATCACATTATAGATGCTTCAACATTAAATTATAATCATCACAACTATAACATGCATTTATGTTAATCATATTGCATGTTATAATATCTTACATATAACCAGGATTTGCATATAGCAAATTATACTATGAAATATTGTGATAACAAATTCAAACATTATTCAAAGTACAAGGATCATATACCTACATATAATGATTTACGGTTTATTATAATAAACTGTAGTCATATTAATAATATTCTTTTAAGTATAATCACATCAACACTCAGAGAAAAGTCGTATCAACTACTAGAAATTTGAAGATAAATAGCGCCTCAATTATGTATTATTATATAAAAATAATAAATAAATCATATGAACTAAAAATCAAACAAATGAATCAGGAACATAAAAGTTAACGCTGGATTGTGTGTGTAAAGAAATTTATATCTCTTATTCTACATAATAATAAACGTATAATTAGGTCATCTTCAGTATTACAAAATAAAATAGAGTTACGTATATATGATGTTATATTGCTGAAGTTTTTCTAATTACATTAATCTTACATTGATGCTATTTGCATACCACTCAGTGGTTAAATTGTATCTCAGCGGATCGACTATGAGAGCATATGATATGCGAGTGGTATCAAAAGTTGTAAAATTAATATATTAGAAAAACTTCGGCAATATAACATCATATATACATAATCCTATACATTAATTTTGTATTTTTGTACTGAAGATGACTTATTATAAGATCGAAACGTTTATTATTAATGTAGAATAAAAGATATAAATTTGTTTACGCACAGAATGTATTCAGGTTTTGTGCTTTTGTGATTCATTTGATTAATTTTATCATATAAAATCGTTATTTTTAGTATGAATTAAGAAGATATAGTATAATATTAATCATTTGTTACAAATGATTAATATTATTATATTTTCTAAGATATATATCTCTTCTTTGAGATATATATCTCTCATTTATTTTTGTCTCCGAAATTTGAACTCAATACTGCGCCTTTTATTATATGCCAAGTGATTTTCTTCTCAGGAGAAATTGAATTCCGTTGTGTTGCGTCCCTCTGGTGGGAGAGGCCTGTACTGCTCGTGGATGAGCGACTTTAGTAAATTTTTACAAATAGTAAATTTTTAGTTAAAAATATAATCAAATATAAACTTAATATACATTTAAAAATACTTGTTTCTTTAACTTTTCTTTACCATTATCGTTATCTAGTTATTATTATCATATAAATAATTGACGAATGTCAAGAAAATTATATTTTATACTAACTATAATATACTATCTAACTATAATTACGATTGCATTTACGATATAAAAATATAAAAAATCGTATCTTAATATTTTACTATATTAATAGTAATAAATAAATTTATTATATTGAAATTATCATAATTTATAGTACAATTTTTCCATATTTGAAAAAACTATACATATAAAGTTATTATTACTAACATTACAGCAATAATAAAAATGGATCTTCTAACTACGATTTTTTAATGATGGAATTATAATCACAAATACCAAATATTTTTTCTCAGTGAAGATAAAAGCAGATAAAAGCAGATAATGTAAAAAGGAGGATAATCTATCTACAGATGAGAGAATGGACATTTCGTTCGAATCAATCTGAATTTGAAAAATAGATTTAAAAATGTTGGTATTCGTTATTTTTGTACTTAATTCATTTCATCGCACTTCCATGATGTATTACATTATAATTACTTTGCATTACACATAATTCCTTTTAAATTAAATAAATCCTATAAACATATTTGTATGTCAAGCATCTTCTATAAAGAATCAAATGATGTAAAAAAAAACATCACAATTGTTACTTGTAAAAAATTTCAAACTGCAACATATTGTATTCCTATTATATTCAAAAGAAGCTACTTCTAAATATCGAAATATAGATCTAATCTATATCAATTTTGGATAGTACTTTTAAGAGAAAAATTCAAACAATTAATATTATTAATACGGTGACAATACGATAACAATAGCCAATGACAGAATCAAGAGAATTCGCTGAATAACGTCACATCGTGTCGGTCTGACTTTACGCCTACACCTACGTATTTTTCACCGAATAGTCCGAATACCGATTAATGAGTCATCAGCTAGCATGATATTCGATGCGTATCATACATCCTCCATTTGGAAAATTAAATGTATTGTAACTGAGAATACATAACGAAAAAGAAATCGGTCAAATAATTTCTACTTTCTCGTACTTATCATTATTACAATATCACGTAATAAACTATACCACATAAAACTGTTAGCAAACAATTAAAAAATTCTACTGTTTCTTCAGAGAGTATAATATTTATACTGTATCATATGTAGATATATTTGTCTAGATATAACTTGTAAAAGTCTTACAAGAAAAATTGTATGGTGATAATGAAAAAAATATTGTGGACAATATTTTAAATGTTTAAATATATGTATATAACATAGAATTCTAACAATTCGACAAAAATAATCTCTTCAAGATTTCCAATGAAGGATATCACACATATTTTACATGTCACTATTTATTTCCATTCATTCATCAGTGATGTTTATGATATTGCATGAATATCTTTATCCGATATCGGTGGATTTGTATTTTGATTCAATCGATATGCTTTCATGAAAAACACGAAGGAGTAAACTGCGTATTCGTCACGTCATCAACGATATCATTGACAAGTTGACGTAACAATAAATGATAGCGTTATCAATTAAAGCGTGAATCTTGGCGAATTTCGAAGCCGGCTCCACACAATGTGCTCGAATATTCGACAAGTGCAATCGCGCCGCATTTATGTGACGAATTTCGCTGCATTGTACTACGTGCGTAATCACGATTAAGCTTTTCATAGAGCGCGACATTCATTTCAGTTCGGAATATTCGTTGCGTTAATCTATTGAAGCTGACAAATAACAGACATGAATTTTTCGTCCACAAGTACTTTTTAATTCCGGTTCTACGACATGGTACGATAAATAATTGTCGAAAGTATTCCGATACAAGAAAGTTTCCTCAATTTGGAGCATGGAATAATGCAGTTTTCGTTGAAAGACCATTGGGAAACCTCCTCGATATAGGCATGCGATTAGTGGAGATTTAAACCGACCGTCAACTCAATGAATACAACTTCCGACACTACAAACATATACGAGCTTCTTAAAAGTGAAACTCTATGAAACAAGGTGTGCTCATAAAGCTGATCACCCGTTCTATTTTAATGAAATAATACGACGTTGACAAAAAGTAATCCAGTTAACTTCCGGAAGGTTGATACGTCCCATACCGATCGTGGCGTGAATGAACGTAGTCATCCTGCCAAACAACATCAGGGCTTTCGTCGAGGCAGACACGATATATTCTCATTGCCGATCTCACGATACGACAATGAGAATATATTCTCCATTCATCGGTGTGTCGCCAATAAATGACAAGGTCGGCCATAGTCGCCATGGACCCACCGGCTTGGTGGTCCGCGATGACAACGAACATTAGCATCGCGATATAATGACCGATGGTCATTCCGAGTGCGAACACCTGTCAGCTCTGATCGTCGAGGTGGGCCGAGGTGAGTGTGGGCGAGCAGATGAACGCCTGTCATCCACCGGTTGTGCCTCCTCGGTGATTCTTGGCGACTGCTTGGACTCGCAACGAGTCCGTGTGCCGAGTGAGTGACACTATCTTTACGGTCGAGTCGTAGGGCGTGAGTCACGCGTGTATGACGACGACGACGACGACGACGATGACGACGACGACGACGACGACGACGACGACGATGACGATGATGATGATGATACACACGTATGCCGACGGTGCAGCTCCGAGCATCGTGTACAAGGAGTGGGAAAGAGAAAGAGAAAAAGAGAAAGAGAGAGAGAGGAAGAGCGACGAACTAGCAAGAGTAGTCACTCACCGCGACGAGGGCTGCTAATCTATCCTTGGTCATGGTGAAGGATGACGAGGAGTTGCGAGTCAGCGGGCGGTGTACGGAGTGACGTGTCTAGCGGGTAATCCCATTCACGGTTTTATCCATGTACAACGTGTACGTCCACTAAAAAACTAAAGGAAACGACGGACGCACTGGCACCGTGAGAGAGGCACGATCGTAAAATCGATACATTCGCGAACTCGCCTGCTTCTGCAGTGCCGTCCCAACGCGGCGCGCACGCGCTGATGACGTCAACTTCGTCTCACAAGTACGGATGCCGCGGCGCGGCGCCCCGCGAACGCCGTCAAACGCCATCATCTTGAGAAGCGAACAACGAGAGAAACAGGGGCGAGTGCGAGAATTTATGAATCCTCAACAGTATTTATAATCATTACGTCTGCGTAGGCGCCAATATGCCCATATTTTTCTATCCTATGTATATAAATATACATTTTATCACACTTAAGTATAATATATATACAATTTTTTTTAATCAATTTACTATTGATTATGATTGTAAATGTTATAAAAAATTTATATAGTATTATTGTTAATAATACGTAAATTGTTCGTTGCAACGTTTATTTTAAATAATAAACAGACGAATTTTAATTAAGTCGTTTAAACGTGTTGAGACAAGTGAATAATTAATAATAAAATTGTATATTCCTCATCTTTATAACAGAAAAGAAGTAGAAATCATAAAACCATATATCTATAATATGTACGATTTTGTATATATATATATATA